TAAGACTATTTATCCATCATTGATTTTTCATTGTGGTACCAGGTTCACAGTACTAATATTAATGTCTGCCTCATGTAATGCTGCTGCAACACACTCACTACCAGAGTATATTTGCTATAGAAAATCCCTCCACCACTGTCCCTAGGTATCATGCCTTTAATTTCCTTAAATAATTTAACATAATTATGAAACAAAAAGATATTATAATTTTTATGTTTTAAACATTGGTGACTAAGTTACCTGTTAAATTACAGATGCTTCTTTTTGTTTTGTTTTGTTTTGTTTTGTTTTGTTGGGGGACCACACCCAGCTATGTTCAAAACTTACTCCTGGCTCTGTACTCAGAGTTCACTCCTGGTGGGGCTCAAGGGATAATGTGGGGTGCAAGGGATTGAGCTCTGTGCATGGAAAGAAACTTACTTACTGTTTTATCTCTCCAACCTGCGTGATAGTTGCTTAATTCTTATCCATTTTTAATAATATTATATAAGAATACCAAATTAAAAATGGTGAAGATCCAAAGAATGACATGTAAAATAGTAATTGGTTGAAAACATAAAAGTGCTTTCTTTCCATATTATAGTATGCATGTCCTACTAGGAGCCAGTAACTCATGAGGAATCAGTACACATTTCTTTTCTCTTGGAGTCTTGTTTTAATACAGAGCATTAATCACATGAACATCATGTGATTGATCTCACCTGCCAATCATAGAGCCAGAGGATTTAAGTAATTATGGTTATTAACTTGACAATTAACTCATTTGATAATCTAAATCAATACTATCATTGGTATATGTGCATCTGCCGTACAAAAAAAGCGTATATTTGCTATAGAAAATATAGAGTAGTTTAATATATACTCCTAGATTCCAGGATTAAAATCTTGTTAGGGTTAAAATCCTTGAGTTTCAAATCACACTTTATTCAATTATGAAATATATTGAAATATAACCTAGAATTGAATCTAAATGAGAAATAGTGACTCCTGATGCAGCATGTGGAACCTATTACCATGAGTTGTCCTTTCCCTACATGCTTCCTGAAACTCAAATGACGGACATCGGAATTTTCTAAATCCTCCAAAATTTACTAAATATATCTCTTGACTTTTGACTATTATTACTAAGTTATTATAACTGTGATGTATTTCAAACTGTGATGTGGTTCTTTTCAGTATTGTGGTTATACTTATTATCACTGGGAATTGTCTAAAAAGGTAGCCATAAGACAACAAAAGCTTGAATGTTTGAAATGTGACTATTCCAAATTAAGAAGTGTTGAAATTAAAACATGTCCAGTGGGCTTTAAAGTCTTAATATAATAAAAGTTATCACAAAGTATTAATTTGTGAGTTTACATAGGTAACATATTGGATATGTTGGTTAAATAACATTACAATTTATCCCATAAGTAAGTTTTACTTTTTAATATTGCAGTTAGAAAATTTTAGATTATTATATGTATATATACATATATATTTGGATTATATTTCATTTCAATGAATAGTCATTTTTTTCTTCCGAAACTCTAGTTTTCCAAAAAGTATGATCTTAGCCTGTGGAGTCACATGAACAGAACTCGCAGATGAAACAATATGAACAAAACTTTATTATTCATTACTATTTGTCAGACAGACACAGGATTTTGAAAGATTATAATAAACACTATCATATATCAAAATCATTATAACTTATGCACATTTATAATCATATTTACATTAATTTTTGCATCACTATGATTCAAAAAAGAAACTGGGACTTAAAGAGGACAGATAGCTAGTAATTTCCTCTCCTATGAAATGGTGGAGCTGAGATTCAGCCTATCATTCTTATTCAGATGCTGAGGCTCTTTGTCAGAAGCACTGTAGCACTGTCCTCCCCTTGTTCATTGAATTTCTCAAGCAGTCACCGGTAATGTCTCCATTGTGAGACTACTTGTTACTGTTTTTGGCATATCAAATACTCTATTGCTAGCTTGCCAGGCTCTGCTATGGGGACAGGATACTCTCAGTAGCTTGCTGGACTCTCCGAGAGGGGCGGAGGAATCAACCTGGGTTGGCCACATGCAAGGCAAATGCCCTACCCACTGTGCTATCAATCCAGCCCTTTGTCATAAGATTGAACACATTTTTCCTCAAACATTTTGAACTCAGGGCCTCAAAATTCCACATATGCCTTCCACCACTTGAGCTATCTCTCCCTGCTCTGTTACAGCATTCTAAAGACATTGAGCGAAAGAATGGGAGCTCGCTGGTAGAACTGCAAGAAAGATAGATTGTAGCAGCTTTGAGGGGGTAAAAATGGTTAGAAAGGTGTTCTTTTAGCATGAGATTAAGAGAAGCCTAGACTATTGTGTTGGAGCTTGGTTTATTTGTAAATTTTGAGAAGTGAAGGGCCAGGATTAAAGCTGCATTTGGTAACATTTATTCATCCTCAGTGAACTGCATGGAACTGATGATCCAGAAAGAGTTTATAACTCTGTGGGTAGGTTATTAGTTTAGCTGATCTGAGGAGAAGGAGACATTATTTCTGGGAATAGAACTCAAGTGGATCATGGTGAATGAATTGACAACTCTTAAAATGTATTAGACATTAAAATGAAGTGTTGAAAAATAATGACTTGATTGTAAACCCAAATGACTGAGAAGATAGTCTTATATTAATGGAAACATGGTATTTGTTGTTTCAAGCTGTTTGGAGGAAAGATAATGAGCTCATTTCTAGACAAGTTTAGCATTGACTTGACTCCTGAGATTCTAGGATGAAAATTTTGATGAGGTTTCAGCTAAATATGAATAATTGATATTATGGAGGTTAGAGTTCAATTTGCGAAGGTTAGAGTTCAGTTTATTAGTCAAGTATATTGAGAAAGAAGCACAGAATTCCAAGCTTTGAGCCTTTGAAACTACTAGGTTTGAATATCTGGAGATTAAATGAGCCAGAGAAGAAACTGGTGTTGGAATAAAAATGATGATCTGCAGGCAAATGGACTTGAGTTTTATTGACCTCCAAGTGGTAAATATTAGTTCCTTTAAATAGTATTAATCATGCCAGGTGTGGCACTCAACACCCCTATAACACTTATATAGTGACAAAATAGTATAGAACATTGGAATTATTCTTATTAAATATTAGCAAATGTGAATAAAAATCCAAGAACATAAAATTCCATTAAAAGTTGTCAAGTTTTGTTTACAAATGCTTTTTTTAAATAATTTTTTCTTTGTTTAATTGAATAACCGTAAACTAAAAGTCACAAAGTTATTCATGATTTAGTTTCAGGAGCAATAGCACAGCGGTAGGGCATTTGCTTTGCATGCAGCCAACATGCCCGACCCGAGTTCAATTCCTCCACCCCTCTCGGAGAGCCCGGCAAGCTACCGAGAGTATCTCGCCTGCCCAGCAGAGCCTGGAAAGCTATCTGCAACGTACTCGGTATGCCAAACACAGTAACAACAAGTCTCATGATGGAGACGTTACTGGGCCCGCTCGAGCAAATCGATGAACAACGGGAGGACCGTGACCGTGATACAGTGTTCCAACACCTATCCCTTTACCAGTGTCCACTTCCCTCATCCAATAGTCTTTTTAATTTTACTTATTTTAATGACTTGATTATTTTGAAAAAATAGTATGTCAACAGAGATAGAAACACTCTTTACACATTTGCAAGTGTGTAATTTTACACTGGTTCAGGAAGTTATAGCTCGAATTACAAATGATCAATGGGATTTACAAAATAATACAGAAAATGAGTAACATTTTGAAAGAAGCCATAAATCATTTCTGGCATGTGTAGAACTAAGTAGAAGAAAAGAGTTTTTCCACATAGTATGTGAGAGTTATGTCCTTATAAATTGTATTTGATTATTCCCTTCTTTACTAGTGAAGACTTTAGATATTTGGATTTTCCTTGAAAATATATCCTTATTGCCCTTGAGGAATATTCCCTTTAATAAGGAAAGACTAAGTCTATGACAAGAAATAAGGGAATCTGACAGGTAGGCGAAGCAAGGGCACAAACATGAATTCAATCATCAAAACACAAAACACAGAAAGTCATTTCTTAACTCATTTTTCAAGGCAAAGTGTTTAATTCTGTAAGATGTCTTTATGTCATCTATGACTTTTTAGAAGATGTCAGGTATAAATAGTTTAAAGTATTTTAAAAGAAAGAAATTGAATACAAAACAAAATTCAACATAATAAAATTTTATTTTATTAACTTTGAAGTTAATTAAATCTTGTCTACTCTTTTGGATATATATTTGATTTTCAACATATTTCCATTCCCTACTATTCTGCAGTGGTTTCTTCAGATAACCAAACATTTAATTTTATGAGACTGTGGTTAGTATAAATTTGAATGTTAAAGAAACTGATGTTTGTAAGGTTGGCAAGCCTATGCACATGTTTTATGTGAATATTTCTGGGGTCTGGGATCATTTATTTGAATGGTTTTTGCTATTGAGGGAAGCACTCCTAAAGCAAGTTAGAGGCATTGTCTATAAGAGTATGCTTGTCAATTTTACCATGCTAAAATTGTCATTTAAAAGATCTGAAGCAATTGCTATGTAGCTTTTTTTGAGGATAAAGAGGCAATTGTGCATTTCATTCTGAGGTTCTTTGATGAATGATACCATTTATAATGTTTACTCAATGGTACTTATATCAGAAGATGTAAAATAATATCAAATTCCACTTTTGAATATTAACCATTAGTCCTGTCAAATATATGGAAATTGACTTTTGTTGAAAAAGCAGAAGGATGGATTGCAGTATCTTGCATGTATGTTTGGTTCTGCTGATGTTAGACAATTCTCTGTATTTGCATCCTCAGTTATTTTCCTGGTTGTATTTTAAAACATTCATAAAATATAATGTGGAAGCATAATGCATGTCATTATTTTAGCAACAGGAGGCTTGTTCAATGTATTTTTTGGTTTATGTTTCTAATAAAAGTAATTTTGATTTAAATTAGCACTATCTTTTTTTTTAGGCCTCCATTCCTTTGAAGGAATTGGAGCAGTTTAACTCAGATATACAAAACTTGCTTGAACCACTGGAGGCTGAAATTCAGCAGGGGGTGAATCTGAAAGAGGAAGACTTCAATAAAGATATGGTAAATTGGTTGTGATAAAAAGTGTGAATGAACAAAGAGTGAAAATGAATAAATATTTAGAGAGAAATGAGATAACTCAAGTCCCTGCTAAAATGTCAAAGCATACCTTACACATTCTGTGATTTTAATGATTTATTATAAATGTAAAATATTCTTGTTAAAATTTTCTGATGATTGCCAAATTTGTATTTTGTCATCATATAGGCACATTTACAAATACTAACAATCAGCTCAGCAATTGATCTGTGTTATTTGCAGACTTTAAGAACAAATACATTCGAAGGACAAAGTCAAATCAAAAAACAAAGTAGACAATAAATAAAGTTATCGCTCATAGTCGACTGATATTTTGTATGTTTAATGTTTTGGGTAATAGTTTATTTTGGAGAAGGTATAATATGCAAAATGTGAACAATCTTTCTGAAAGTTTACAACAAAGTTGTTTTACCAGAACTTGGAGTAAATAATACAGGCTATGGTGAAAATATGTCTAAATACGCACTGCTTTTTGAATAGGAGTAAAAAGAAAAAAAAAACTATGGAAACTATTCTCCTTCAACCCTGATTAATTGCAGAATTGATTTTAAATTTTTCTTTGGCTTGAATATTTCAGCATCACAGCCTGCATTTCTGCAACACATTTCACTGGTATTTCCCCTCCTTTCACCTCCTTGTCACAGTTCCTTTCCCCCTTTCTCACGGCTGTCACCTCTGTGGCATTCTTCACCCTGAGATTTATGTGTCTTGCTAGTGATTTCTCAGACATGTATCCATACTAGAGATGTCTCGGGCAGTGTTTTTAAAGGACATCAAAAGTCAATATGTAAATGTTAGATGATAGAGCGTTGAAGCCATAGTACTATACCACCAGTTGTAGCTCCCACTGGTATCAATTTGGACCTCCTGGAGCGACTTGCATCAGTCCTCCCTGCGTATGTATGTGGTTGGGTTGCCTTGCCAATTCAGTTCATGGAAAGAAAGACAAGAAGAGACTTTTCAAGGTGCTGAGTCACGGCTAATGGTACTTCATGTCCAAGAAGAAGTTAGCAGGCACCGAGGTGGAAGAGAGTGCTGCTTACCTCTGGGGCCGATCGCCAACTTGGCCCTAAGGCCCTCACCTGATGTAGAGAGAGGAGCCAAGGGGGCTTTTTTTTAGTTTGTCCGCTTATTTCTTGTCCTCAGCAATGAAGGGGGAGTGCTGTTGACCTTCAAGTGTGTTTTTTGACATTCACAGATGATAAACATTTAGTCTGTGCTATATTATGCTTTATCTATTTAATGCTGTATCTTTCATCAGACTAGTAACTAACAAATCTCATGGCAGAAAAATCCCATGCATAAGAAAAGAAAATAGTTTCTCAGATGTGTGTTGAAATAGAAATCCGCAGCAGATTTGAACTATGTGAAACTGAATCCCATAAGCGAATGCAAGTGTGTTTGTGTGTGTGAGAGAGAGAGAGAGAAAGAGAAAGAGAGAGGAGGGAGAGAAAGATTGAGATTGAGAGCGATGTGTTGGGGGTCAAATCTAGGGTCTCATAGATGTGTGAGTAGATGCCCTTACACTAAGATACATTCCCAGCCATTTTTGGAAAGTGTCTAATATTTGTTCTTCTTAGCTCGGTGCACATTAGACTTCACTGTAGGTAAAAATCTTCCATCGGTTTTCTTAGACTCTTTAAAGGCCACCCAAGGAGGGGAAATCACATGCTCATGTGTACTACTCTATTAGAAAAGATTTTCAGACCATTTTATTCCAAAGTAAATAAAAGTCCTGGCGTTTAAAAGAATATAGTGCTCAACCAAAAAATTAAAGCTATTTTCCTAATCTTTAGTTTCATATCTATTTAGTGGTGTTTATTTGAAAGTAACATTCATATGTGATAGTTTTACAGCATTTGACAACAATGCAGAATTTTTTTACTACTGCCCTAACATCATCCTGATTTTGGCATTTAAGTTTGAAACAGAAAACAATTGAAATTAATGTTCATTAGAAACATTATCTTGATTTAGGAGTAAGTGAAGCATAATTAAATTTAAGATTTGATGCCATCGAATATTCCCACATAAATTTCTATATTCTTATATGGATTAGTTAGCAAAATAAGTGTCAAGTTTAGTTCTCCAAACTTTTTGCTTTTTATTAAATTCATGATAAAGTAAAGAGAAAGTGAACGCTTCACTGTCATTCCTGACTGGTCTAAACTGATGACGTGCCTTATTGTCGCATTTTCCTTCATGTGCACTGATCAAATGTGTTCTTTGGAACTAGATGGCAGAAACTTTCTTTTGATGGCTAAAGTCCAACATATAAAAGATGTGAGCATAGTGCCATATGATAACATTCCCTGAAAGTTTTACATTGGATTTCTGTCTGTGTTTAAATAACGTGTTATTATCTCTGTTAACGATATCAAGCTCTTTAAACACCAAAATGAAGCCTGTACTTGTTGTTTTTAATCAGAGCGAAGACAATGAGGGTACTGTAAAAGAATTGTTGCAAAGAGGAGACAACTTACAACAAAGAATCACAGATGAGAGAAAGCGAGAGGAAATAAAGATTAAACAGCAGCTGTTACAGACAAAACATAATGCTCTCAAGGTATTAGAGCTAAAATTATAATATACCTTGCCTGTGATTTTTTTCATATGTAGGGTAAAGTATGTTGTGCATAAATAAAATATACTTAATATTGGTCAGCAGAAATACTTTTTTTCATTTTAATAGGTGTGCTTTCTTTATCATTTTAGAGTAGCGCCTTAGATTTTTAAAAATGCATTGCTAAAAGATGAGGATAAATTTTGCATCAGTAATTATTTTTACAGATAATTTGAATGATAGAATTTATAATTTGTGATGTTTTCACGCCTAATTTTCTAATGTTTATATTTATGCTATTTTCAGCTGTCTTGAAAAGACTCCTTAGCTATCACAATAACCTGTCTATGAATTTTAGGCACTCTGTTCCTTTTATTGATTTTATTTAGAGCTCCAGTTATTTTGGTAACAATGTTTGTTTATTAATGATGGGGATTCTACTTACTTTTTCAGTTTACTTCATTTCATCTAAAAGAGAGTTCCTCTTTTCAATTCACTAAGCCTCTTCAAGAGTCGTCTCTATATTGGAATCCTCAGAGTAATTGTGATACCCTTGAAGAAGAACTGACATTCTCATATTCAGCAGTAGAATATAGCTTCACCCCATGTCACTCACTGGGATTTTTGCAGAAGGAAATAATATTGATTTTCCTGTAACAATATCTAGGTGTTTCATAATATGAGACTGGACATCTAAAGAATTTGGTGAAATAACCCTTTTTGTGTCTGTGCCTTGCAATAATCACCATTTTGCATGCATGGCTGACTTTCCAATACTGTTAATTGCAGAGCTATTCATTGTAAATCACTCTTTTTAGACCTATGTAACCATCAAGGTTAATCCACTAGTAGGTGGATAGGATATGCGTTCTGTATGCAAATAAGAGTTTAAAGCCTTTTCCTATAGAGTCAAACAACCAAATAAACACTGCTGAGAATGCAATTACACAATATTGTGCCTGCAAGGAATCCACAAGGAAAGTCTAATTGGCCAGCAGGTGTTCTGAAGGTAAATGCTGATAAATATAGTAAATAGAAAAGGCCTCTTCCTTGAGGGAGTTTCAGGAGCAAGCCATAATGTGCTCAGAAATTCAGAAAGCTGTGTAATTCACACACTTCCAGCTGTGATGGAGCTTTCAGAAGCATCTACACTGGTCATATGATGATATGTGTCCTACTGAACAGCTGTGTTTAATGGTTATCTGGCATATCTGTAAAGAAATCTATATTATAACCTCTAACTATCTTCACACATCACACTGCACCTCATGCATCAGAAATAGAAGGGGTTTCATAGTTGATGACCACAAATTCTTTCTCTTGGTAGAGAAATGAGTCATGTCATGAATAAAGCATGGGTCAGCTGAAATTACCCTGGCTGTAGCTTGTTACCTTAGGAAAATATACAGCATTATATCTGGCTCATTCCAGGCATTTATTATCTTCACAAGAATTTTAGAAATTCAAATAAAAATGTTCAACTATAATCAATGTTGCACCCCCAATTTTGAATGAGATGGGGAATGAAATTCAGATTATTGCAAAAATATGCGGAAAGGAATGAAAAAGCTCCTATATGTGCCAAATTAATCTGCGCCTCCAAATTCAGTAACTGAGTTGACCTGCCAAAAGGCTCAAATTTTAGTTGTTATGGAAAATTTCAGAGAAGGTTAAAACTTTCCAGTGCAATGAATATATCAGCAATTCTATTATACTATTTACTTTGTTCCTGTCATATATGTGCACAAAGCCCTAATCGCTACTGTTCTGAAAAAATTAAAATTTACATTCTGAGCTTTCTTGCTCCCTTGAGTATATCATAAAATGGCATTTCAACAAATTCTATTGATCAGGGAAGACATAGGGAGTGCTTGTAAGTAGCAAGATGATTAATTCTTCCTCCTTTGTTGATTTGTTAAATAAGTCACTCATTTTTCTCATGAGGTTGATTGAAAACTAAGCACTTTCCTTTCCTTTTCAAAGTAATTAATCATTTTGCATTTGTAACATGATTTTCTATGATAAGAAAATGTTGATCTTCCAAGTCTTAATAGAAAAGGCACTTGTATAGTATTCAAATGGTCATTTTCATATACATTCACATTTATACAATTATTATACTTCAAACCTGTACACTTTAAACTACACAGCAGCACATAACAGTTTATGTCTTAGCTAAGATGGCTTTGTTTTTAATCTTAAAATAATAATGCCCCCCAGACATTTTTACAGGGGTTTCTAAAGCCATGAATGCTGTTTCTTTAATGTAAATTCAAAATTTTGTTGACATGCCAAATACTGATTATATAAGCTTTATTACAGTACCTATTTAAAAGTGAAATATAAACCTACTAAGTTTTGTACAAATATATAGTTAATTGTTTATATTAATATATTTCACATGGACATCTCACTATGTGTTAGTTGATTAACTATAGCAAGTTTTCCCCCAAAATTTAAACATGTCAAGAGAAAATACTTGAAATGGACTCGGATTTCTTGTTTATATGTTCGTGTAGATAATTTAAAAATTATCTTTCATGTCTAGCATTTAAATGTGGACTTAACTGAAGTTGTACAAGGTGAGGGGCTCAATTATTTTTAAATAACTGCAGCCCTAAGTCTACTATACATATATATTGATATTTTAATAATATCTGCACTATGAACAGGATTTGAGGTCTCAAAGAAGAAAAAAGGCTCTAGAGATTTCTCATCAGTGGTATCAGTACAAGAGGCAGGCTGATGATCTCCTGAAATGCTTGGATGACATTGAAAACAAATTAGCCAGCCTGCCTGAACCCAAAGATGAAAGGAAATTAAAGGTAATGTTATTTCAGAATGTCAATACTAGAGTTTATTACAGCGATTTAATTTTTTAGCTTAACCTGTGTGAGTCATATTTAAAATGTTGTTGTTTCTTCAATTAGCATTCTGATTTGATGTGTCTTTATTGTATTGTGTTTTGTTTTAGTAAATGTATTGTATTAAGTGTATTCTGACTGACAATGTTAAACAAATAAAAAGTTTTCTTTTTAGACAATGTAAAATGAATTAAGCAATGTCATGTCTTTTCCTGGTTGGATTGTAATTGACTTTGTGTATCTTTGTTCCAGATGAGCAAATGACTTATCAATATATGGATGACTCCTTCCTCATGTTAGCACATTCATTTCGTTAGAGCAACTTCATACATCATTGTATACTCTCTATAGATTTATTTGCATATTGTCCAATGATGTCTTTTTTTGTTATTTTCCACTTTTTCTTTGCTTCATTCTGTTGAGTTTCTCAACACTTTAAAAGAAAAATAGAATATTCACTTACCCCTTAAATTAGATTCTGTATGAATGGTTCATCGTTAATAGTGAGTAATCACTCCAATTTGGATGAATCTACCCTCAAACACTCAAGCAGTTGAGAAGAAAGAGTTAGATCAGTTCAATTATTTTCGCCATTAGAATAACTCAAGCTGAGCATTCAAGGGATAATTGGAATTAGATTTGAATGCTTGGGTGAAAATAAACAACTCTGGCTTCCATATTTGTAAGTTATGAGAAGTGACAATAAAATGACCCCTATGGAATTTCTGGGAGAAGTATGTGCTGCTTGCAGGTTGGTTGATGTGGTTAGCTAACTGCCCTGGGCCCTGTATTGATTTTGCTCAATAGGAAATTGATCGTGAATTGCAGAAGAAGAAAGAGGAGCTGAACGCAGTGCATAGGCAAGCTGAGGGCTTGTCTAAAGATGGGGCCGCAATGGCAGTGGAACCAACTCAGATCCAGCTCAGCAAGCGCTGGCGGGAAATTGAGAGCAAATTTGCTCAGTTTCGAAGACTCAACTTTGCACAAATTGTGAGTTGTTACTGGCAAACCACGTAGGTGCTTGCAACTACTTCTCTAATACAGAAGCTTCTATTAACAAAAAGAAAAAAAAGATCTGGGTGCAATTTCAAACTTCTAATATGCATTCTGAAGTGAGTACTTCACTCTCACTTTGGACTTTCGTTAACACTAGTGGCTAATTCTTTAGATTAAACCCATTACTAGTTTACTGCCCTTTGGAGAGAATCCCCAATCAAAGATTTTAAAGAAAAATGCATCTTAATTTCTTTTGCCACATCATTTTTTCATAACATTGGCAATGTGGATTTGTCAATCGACCATACATTTCCTTCTTTCAGTGTCTTATCGAAAATATACATTGCTTTCCTAAGATCATCTCATGCTAATTTTACTTTACCAATGTATACTTGACAAATAATACTTCTTTTGTGAATCCTTTTTAGCTTGCATAAGGCCTAATTGACTTAAGGACTAGTCCTCATATCAGGTTTAGCTATGTAATGGGTTTAGGTTTATTAGAACAGGATGCCTGGTGAGATGGTTGATAATTGACAGACATCTGGAAAATACCAAGCGATGTGTCTATGAAATATTACGAACCAAAAGAAAAAGAAGCGACCGCTCTTCTTTCAGAAAACTGAATGGAAAATTTGTGATTCCTTTTTTTGAATAGGGCTATTCAAATGTGTATGCTGGTTTTCTGAGTTGTTTATTTGTAATGGGGCATAAACCATAGAGGTTTTTCTAGTACTATTTGTTCCTGGTTTGAGAGACTATAAAGTGGAGAGAAACAGCCACTGCTCTGTAATTTTGTAAATAGACTGCAAAGAAAGATGGCAAATCTAGAAAATAAGTCTTTATAACTGTCTTAGGCTGAATCAGATGCAACCAACAGCAATTTTGACCTGTGCAGATAACAATTTCATTTGTGTCAACTCATAAATAAGTCTAAAAATTCTTTTGTGACGTTGTCAATTCCATTTAATACAGATTAGTAGTAGTAGTACGAGGAGGAGGAGGAGGAGGAGGAGGAGGAGGAGGAGGAGGAGGAGGAGGAGGAGGAGGAGGAGGAGGAGGAGGAGGACGGGCAGGAGCAGTAATAGTCTCAGTATTATTATCGTTCTCTTTGTTTTGGGGGTGATACCCCATGGTGCTTTGGATGAATTCCTGGATATGAGCCCAGGGATTGCTCCTGGTCGGACTTGGAGGACAGTGTTGCTGGGGATAAAATCTAGATAGACACATGCAAAAGAAGAGCCCTGCTTGCTATATTATTTCTCGGTCTTCCTCAGAATAGTTTTTATTGAAAGAACTTTACTTTGTGAAATATGAGTAGAGAAAGAAATATAAATATATATTTAAGAGTGAACACAGGCTTCTAGAGAAGGAAAAGCTTTTAAACATGTTAAAATACGTCTAGGACATGCCTTATATTTTATTTTCGCAGAATATATGATAATATATTTAAATTGATCTAACAGTTGAATTTTGTTAATACCAAGGGAAATGTACTGCCTGTTATTGGCACTTTTATTTATATATTAGAAAAATCCATGAATATGTATGCTGTTTTTTGAAATCTAATACCCTAAGATTGAATAGGAACTAAATATACTGTGAAATTGGGAGAAGTAATATAAGACATATTGAAGCTTTATTACATTTGAAGTCCAGCTCTAGATGACTGTACATTTAAGTCTATTATACTTCATATTAGATGTTAGGAATATTATATGTCATCAATTACTCAAGCTCATGCTTACAGAAACTCCATGTCTGCAGATAAAAAAGTCGTCTGAAAAATTGAGGCGGCCATGAATATAAACCATGAAAAATAATTTTTCTTTAATTTAATAGATAATTCAGAATGTAGTCATTTATCTTGAAACATGACTTCTACTTTCTTCATCACAATTTCTCTCATAGTTTTACAAAGCTCATATATAGGATTAAAATTTTTGTCTGCATAGGTAAGGTATAGTTAAATAAACAAGATATCAAAATTTTCCATAAACAACCAATGTAAATGCCACCAAGCCCCTAAATATATCAAGTCCTTAACATTCCTTTTAAAACATTAGTAGTGTAATAAAGTAGAGTTATGTAGTTCTATAAAATCTGAAGCACCTAGTAAATACTGATTTATATTTCTGATTATCTTTTTAATTTTATGTCTGAAAGACACAAAGCTCAAACTTTCTGAACTGGGGAAATTTTTTATATTAAGTTTTGGTTTTCTATGATAGTAGCATAATTAAAGTAAGAAGAAATATCAATTGAATACTGCATCTTTATTTGGCTTTGAAATTTAGTTGTATATAAAAGTTGATAGATGATATCTAACATGGACACTTATGCCCCACTTATTTTTTAAACATATTTTACTTGTTAGAGTTATCTTTGTCACTTATTCTACACTGACGCAGTTTGAGCATGCTAAAAATGAAAAGTTTTCCTACAAGTTGGACTTTAATTCTACACATACCTGAATGAAGAATATCTTTGAATATTAATATTGGTCATACCACTAGAGACTGCTAGCTGTATAATAATGGGCATATATGAGAGACAGTCCAATTTTCTTCATAAGGATAATGCTGTTTGTAATGGAGAAATGTGGTAAAATTTTTAAAACACTTGCATTACAGGACCTTGTAAATATTATCTACATATGTGTAAACTGACACTTGAAAAAAGATGGCATAAAATATTTTATATTTCTTTAAGTCATTGAAAATCTCAGTAAGAACCATGTATTTAAAGTAGTAACATTTATATTTTTAAGAAAGATGTATGGTTTTCAATGTTTCATATCAAGCAACTTCCAGTTTATCTTATCATTTTTGTTGCCTAATAGGTAGCTCAAACATAATGTAGCCAAGTGAAGAATGATTGATGTTGTCCTTCACATAAATTTTCTCCAAATGAATTTTCTAGGTGCCAATAGTTTTGCTTTAGAGTGAGGTAAAATATCTAACCTTACATCTGATTCCTCTTTCCTATTATAGAATACTTATAATTAACTTCTAGTTCTTTTAGTGATCCTACCTACAAAATATATCTTCAGTTTAACCATTCCACCTTAGTACTTCATTGCAGAAACCCTAGCATACATCATAATCATCTAATATCTTGCTTATAATCTTCCCCTACCTACACTCAATGTTCTCCTTAAGACAAAAATATATCCCAGAAAGTAAGTGATTTTCTATCAAATCCCAGATGCTCAACATACTTTCAACATAATCCTCTGAGCTACTACATTCAGTGATCTCTCCCTATCATTCCCAGTACTATGAATTTATCCCCCATTTGCTGTTCTCCTGCCAGAGACACACACATTTCTTCTCTAGTAAGCACACTATTATGTTTTCTACCTCAGAAGCTTTGTATTATATTATTTTTCCATGGAATACTTTTTACATAGATTCTTATAAAGGTGCTATAACTTGAGGTTTTGTTTAGGAACAATGAAATGTTTAATAAAAATTTGACATGTAGTCAGTACAGGTAATAATACATAGTTATTTTTATTTTAATAATTTATATCGCTTATGATTGTGCCAGCTATGAATTTATGATGTCTGTCCAAACAGTAGGTTTCATTACAATTTCATGAGGAAGGGTATGTGTTTAATGAAAGACAAAGTTCCTGAAACTTAACACCGAATGTGGTATAGGGTACTTAACACTGAATGTGGTATACAGTATATATGAAGACATTTTTAGTAATGTATTGCAATGAATAACTAAATTATATGCTATCACAAGGTATTTCAATAACATTCAAGGTAAACACTTTCAAAATAAAGCTGTTTCTAAACTGTTGATAGTTAACTTGGTTAGAGTCACTTCCATTACAAAGAGAAATGTATTGTTATATGTTAGTTCCTATTTGAATAATTTTGTAAAATACTTGGTACTCAAAATATCCTTTCAGTTCATGAAAAAGAACAACATTTTAACCTTAAAAAGAGCTTTAATGTTTAACTAGTTTTGATTCTTCTAATAACCCTCTTTAGGGTATTTTCATTGATACTTTACAATATAGAAAATTTAAATGAAATGAATGAGGTTTATCCAAGGGTACGCATGAGAAATTGAAGACATTAAATGTGATCTCTGTACTTCCCATATGGAAGTTCTTTTAAAGAAATGAAAAAATTGTAATGGTTTCATGCATAAGCACTGAATTAAGTTTCATAGTCTAGAACATCTGAGGGCTTTGTGTTCAGCAACACTTATTTCTACAGGGCTTATAAACCCTGGAGATTTTCACATCTCCTTGGTTGCTGTGAATAAGGTGGGGATTTCATTTCAGTTTTATGGACAGATTCATATGTTAGAAGTTGTGAATAACTAGTGTTCTTCTGGTTAAAAAAGTTTAGGCTGAGCACTGCTCTACAATTAGGATTTTGATATCCATGAGGCATGGATGTGAAAGGGTAGTAATCACAGAAATGACTGCCATCACCTATGAAAATTAATATTCAACCTAGATTCTATGCTCTGATACGCATTTGTTGGCCCGTTTTCTTTTTATCATATATTGGTAGCTAATGAACTTGGATTCTAAAATAAGTGGGGTTGGGGAGGGGATTTTCATGCCCAGGTTTTTTCTTTGCCTTGAAATAATATCAGAGTTTTTGAGCTGTGAATGCAGAAGCCTTGGGGACTTAAAAGATATAAATAATTTATCACTTTGAGATAAAATGTTCTTTGTAAACAGAATTGTCACTATAAAACGTAATAGTGGCTACTAAGTGAAATTAATCGGGTTATAGCTGCTTCTAGAATATTCCTCCTCTCAGCTTCAATATTAAAGTGAATGCAGTACAAGATTTTTTTCTTGATTGTGGTAAAAAATAGTTGAAATACATTTAGATTATAATTTTTATTAGTCATAATCCACATACAGGTTATTGGGCAAATAGGCTATTTTTATATCTGATCAGTTTATAAAAAGATGAAAGATGGAATCCTTCATTTCAAATATATGAAAATCTGAA